AAACATTGTTTACAAAGGAAAATTTTTAAATATAAATTTAAAAAATTCTTGGCATAATTTAAATAGTTTTATAATTTATTCATTAATTTTCTGTTTAGTTATTACGAAGTTAACACATAATTTAATAAATTTATAAATAAATAAATGTCATAATTTCTATATAAAACAGTCAAACAAGCATTACGTTTCACATATTTCATATACATATTTTTAAATATATTTAAAACTATTTGAAATCAATTTGTTTATAATTCTTAAATTATTTAACCGGATAAAGTTTTAACAATATTTAAGTAACCTTTACCTACTAAATATAAATCTCTCTCATAGAATAGTAAATAAAATACAAGTATTTAATTAAAATTTTAAAAATGCGTTTCAAACGAGATCATATCCTTGTTTTACTTTGGACTTTATTTAGTTGGATAGTTTGTTTACGTATGATACACGGGTCTCATAATTTGTAACGATTGAACAATAAAGAGCGTTCAACAAACACACTAAATCAGATTATTCAATGAAATTCTATTCTATTGGAGTAGATAAGCATAAATCGAATCTATCGATTCGAATTCTTGAATATTTACTGCAGATGATAATAGTAAATTGCTATAAAGTCTTCATTTTCGTCGTAATTATCTAGACTAGTCCGTGTTAAGGGTTTTGTCTACGTCTATCTTTAACGCCACCAGTTCTAGTGTAGTCGAGTGACAGAAATTATCGTGTAACAATTTGTACGTAATTCGTTTATTTTGCTACAGCAGACGTGCAATGAGTTACTACAATTGTTCACGTTGCTCTTCGGTAAAATTCTCTATTAAAAAAATTATGATGTAATGTATAAATATATTAGTCAAATTTGCTAAAACAATAACGTCAAATGTGATGAGATGAGACGAATTGTGATTAATTTAATAAACAAAAATTCTCATAAATTACATATTTTAAAATCATTTTTCTGATGTAAAATGATGCTTAGAACGATTCAAAAGTAACTATTTATATTTGTTTTACTGTCTAGATATATAAAATTTAAAAAATAATAAGTAAAATTCCATCACATAAAAAGAAATTAAGTCTAAAATATAATTTAGTAACTAGTATTTGAATTTTTGTATAGATGCAAGTAGGAATGCGAATAAGAGTTATCGTAATAGAAACATAAAATAGCGCTTTAGGACTTTAAGATGACTTGATATAACAGATAGTCTGTTCATTAATCAACATGCTACCTAAGTTGATGAATCAAATAAGATATACGCGATAATCATATTAAACTAGATTAAAATTCTACAGATTAAGCATACATTTTAATTAATTGTATTTTTTTTCCCTTAGATAAGGTGGTTCTACTAATAGTTTCTACACACACGCGTGTACTGTACAAACAGACGCACACAACACACATACGACTTTTTTTTTACCTTAATTCTTTTCTTTCCTTTCAGTATAACTTTTTATTGAAGTTTTTTATAAATGTTTTTTAGGTTGGGCCTCTTACTGGATCACCTTCAGAAGTTAGAACGTTACACTTTCCATTATCATCTATAAAAAAAAAGTATTAGAACACTAATTTTATTTAAATTGGATAGAAAATGTTGATATTTTTATTTTTAAAAAAGTAAATATTAAATTAATAAACAAACTGTAAAGTAACATAATTTTTATATATCGGTTATGAAATATGTATGTATGACTAAATTTTACATAATTCTTTACGTATGTATTAAATATATATATATTTAAGAAAAATATATATTTACAAATGTATTAAAA